GAAGGAAGGAAGGAAGGAAGGAAGGAAGGAAGGAAGGAAGGAAGGAAGGAAGGAAGGAAGGAGAAAGAAGAAAGAAAGAAAGAAAGAAAGAAAGAAATGAAAGAAATGAAAGAAAGAAATGAAAGAAGGGGAAGAAAGAAAAAAGAAGGAAGGAAGAAGGAAAAGAAAGAAGCAAAGAAAGAAAGAAAGAAAGAAAAAGAGGGAGAAAGGAAGGAAGGAAAGAAGGAAGAAGGAAGAGAAAGAAAGACAAAAAAAGAAAAAAGAAGGAAGAGAAAGAAAGACAAAAAAAGAAAAAAGAAGGAAAGAAAGAAAGAAAGAAGATGACAGTTAATTCAGAATCATTTGCAGTAGAAAATAGAGGGCTTAAATTTGTCAGACTCTTGCTCGATGATACACACCTGCTGGAAGTTGAACAGGGAAGCCAGAAACACCAAACTAGACAGAACATATTTCTCCACAATGCATGTCACCTTTACAAAAATTGATAATAGATTAAAGCATAAAGATCTCACAAAAAAATGATTGGTTGTTTTTCTTCATTCTCAAAGAGGACCAAATGACATCACTATGTTGGCATCAATGTGTAATGTGTCCAGCTGTGGCTGATCAGACCAATATGAGCTCAGAACACTCTACCGTAAGTCGGGCACACATAGTCCATATGAACATTTGAAGTGGAGATGTCTCTAAATTTACACATCTCTAATTTCTTTAGAACTACTGAAATTCTGCTTTGCTCATGGAACACAGCACCTTCTTTAATAATGGGCATGCCATCCTGGGAAGTCCTTTATCAGAATCTCTTATGTCAAGCATTTGACTCCAAAGTTCTTCATAGACCTTGAATGTGTCCTTGCATTACTTCTTTTGACCTCCATGTGAACATTTGTTTCTTGTGCATTCTCTGTAGAATAGTTTTTTAGGCAAACTACGTTTGGCATTTGAACAACATAGCCAGCCCATTGGAGTTGTGCTCTCAAATACAGAAAGCTGAAATATTAACCACATTTTTACTGACTGCCACACCACAACATTATATTCATTAAAGGACCATTGAAGAAATGATTAAAATTATAGACTAAATAATGTATTCCTAAAAGAGGTAGGTTGAAGAACACACAGTAAATAACTGGAGATAATAAAAGACAAAATAATATAATTTTTATGTAGCCAAAACAGTCCTAAGAACAAATTTTAAATAGATTTTTATTGCTCTTGTTTCACATATCATTATAGTTATCTCCAGTATCCTTCCTCCTACCCCTTCCAAAGAGCCATCGCATTTAACAAATATTTTAAAGAGGGAAAAATGTTGAGAAAGTTCAAAAACAAGTGCTATGTGTAATACCTGTGGACCTCCTACCACCATGGGTAGGTGGGGCAAGGGAGATGTCTTTTCCTATCTCTTCATTTGAGTCATGCTCGAACTTTAGAATTTTGTTAGATTAACTTTTAATTTTGTTTTGGTTTATGTGTTCTTGTTGTTTTACTTTCATTTCCATAGTTTTAGTTATTGTGTATATTGTTTTCTTTGTTCTGCTTACTTTAATCTGTATCAGTTCATGTAGATCTTTCCATGTTTCTTCATGTTCATCACATATATAATATCTTACAGCATAGTAATATTCCATTATATTCATGTACCACAATTTATTTAGCCATTCCCCAATCAATGGGCTTTGTTTCTAATTGTCTGCTGTCACAAACAGTGTCTCTGTAAATATTTTGGTGTATTTGAGGACTTTTTTATTGAAAGCTTCCTTGGAGTTTAAGTCTAGTAATTGAATCTCTGGTTCAAACCAGTATGAGCATCTTAGTCACTTTATTTGACTAATTCCAAATTGCTTTCCATAATCTTTGCACCATCTCACAACTCCACTAACAATATAGTAATTTTCCTATCATGACTATCATTCTATACCCCTTCAACATTGGATATTACCCCCTCTTTTTTTTTTTTTGGTCGTCTTTGTCAATTTTTAGAGTATGAAGTGAAATGATGGGGAGATTGGATGCTTCTGTTTGGGTGCTTGTGCTTGTACTTGGACCCCAATTTCGCCTTAGTCTCAGAAACCCTGTCTCTGACAACCCCAGCCCAAAGGACACTGTGCCTAGCAGTTATTTATGCATGGGCCCCAGCACTACCCTTATCTCTCTCCCTGGTGCAGCTACACAAAGCTGGGTGAGAGAGTGCTGGGCTGCTCAGGCCCCAGCCTTCAGATCATGTCTTTGGAAGCCTCCCAATTTCTTAGTAAGTTCCTGTCTTGTGAGAAAGCTTTCCCTTGTTGCAGAGCATTCTCTCATCAAGACAGAGGGAGAGGAGTGCCTTGCCCAGCCCAAGGAGTTTTGTCCTTGGCCGGCCCAAGGACTCTTCCTCCTGCCAGACTCCAAAGATCCATACCTCTGTCATCTCCCTCCCTGTCTGGTATATTCCCTGTGCTTTCGCATCCATTGCTCCCAAAGACACCTGCACCTTTAGATTACCTCATCAGTGTCCCTGGCATTCCTTTCCCATGCCCTTTTCCATATAAACCCTAGCTCTATCCTCAGTCTCTTGCAGGTTCCTTAAGAATCATTGTCCGCTGAAAAGCGTAACAATAAATCTTTGCCACCTTGACTTAAAGAATGCTTGAGTCTGTGAATTCATTCCAGACGACCCTGTCATGTGCACCAGTCTTTGAGGGGTCTCAACCTCTCAGACCACAAGAAAACCTTAGGCTTGTTTTCATTTCCAGAATGTATAATCACTTCCATGTCACCATGGAGGAATCAGAGGAACATTTCATTGGATGACTTAGAAAATAAAACATGAGAAACTGCCTTTAGATTATTTCCAGGTTTCTTTTGGTGACAGGCATAAACTCCTCGAGGAAGAAGGCTTTCCTTTTGTCTTTATATCACCTTTACCCAACAATGCCTGGCATATAATAGGCTACTAATAAAACTTGTGGATTTTGACTGGGCATACACACACATACATATACATGCACATATATACACATACATATGTATGTATATTATATATGCATACACATATACACACATACAGATAGATACAACTATCTATCTCTATCTATATATGTATAATTTAAAGGGCAGGAGGACTTGGTCCAGGTTTTCTTAACCTGGGGTCCAGGGATAGATTTCAGAGGGGGAAGAGAGGGTGATCTTTGAAGCTGAAGGGAATACACACACACACACACATATGCACATACATACATATATACATTATCTACCTATCTTTATTTTCATCAATCTCTAGCTGAAATTCAATATTCCCTTAATTTAAAAATGTTACTCTGAAGAGTCCATAGGCTTCAGCAGACTCACAACAGGGTCTATGGCACACAAAAAAAGCTGAAGAACCGGGACCAATTCGATCGCTTCCTTCTGTTATTTTTCAAAGTATGTTTCATCCCAAATACAATAATCATCACCAAAAGATCCCAACAATTGCATTTCAGTTTATTCACAAGAATAGCATTCTTCTTTTTTGGGGGGGGGGGGTGCCGTTCGGCAGGGGATCCGCCGCTGCAGGCACGTTGCCCTTCCATTCTACTTTATTTAATTCGTTTATTATTAAATGTTTAATAAATGTTTACTCCATGGAACGGAATAAATCGTGAACACCTGGGAAAAGAGAAACACAGTAATTTCTAACTTAAAAATTAATGGATTGTTTACGAAGTTTCTCGAGAGCAGAACACAGGAATCTCATCTCTCGCGATACATCCAAGATCGCGGATGGTAGAATGAAGGTTGGCTGGGGCCGGGAGGGGCGGGGCCTCGGAGGTAGTTATGACGTAACGGCGGATCGTGAGGTGGCTTGCCGCGGTCGGCCGTCCAGCTGCAGGGGTAGTTGCTCTTGACCAAGAGAATGCAGCCACAGTCCCAGCCTCTTCAGATGGGATTCCACCGGGTCATCACGGTCAGTCGGCCCCGGCCAGGCTCCGGGCGGGGGTGGGAGGCCGTGCTCTCTCCCGGCTCCGACTACTGAGGTGGGGGAAGGGGGAGGCGCCGGAGCCTCAGAGCCGCTTCCGGGGAAGGCGGGCGCCCCGCGCTTTAGCCTGCCTGGGGACGGACGGGGCGGGCGGGCTCGGAGAAACTGAGCCCGCGGCAGAGAGCCGAGTGTCGAAGGTTCAGCGGACAGAGGGCTCGGAAACCTGGCCTTAGAACCGAGACCCCGCGCCTTCCATCTCCCCGGGCCTCAGTTTCCCATCTGAAAAATGGGATGAGCTCCTAAGGACCATTGTGGCTTTCTGGGTGGCGGAGCCACGTCTCCATTCCCCTGCTGGGCGGGATTCCCATTTGACAAAAAAGAAAACTAAGGGAGTTAAGCCTGCAGTTTAGAGTTGAGATTTTAGAGAAAGGGAAAAACTTTTTTTTGTCCTTGTTCTATCCGTCTAAGACTCAGTATCTTGCGTGTAATAGGTGTTTAATAAATAAACACTTGATGAATTGAGAGAGGACTTAATTTATCAAAGGACCTAAATTACAATATGGACTCTAGACATTTGTGACCTTGGGAATATCACTTGGGATCTCGTCAGCCCCTTGAGAGCACGGACTGTTCTGCCAGCTACCTTGAATATAATGATAAAACATTTGTTAATAGAACACTTGTTGAATGGAATGGAATCAGGACTTTAGAGACCCAGATTAAATACCTTACCTAGAGTCACACAGGTATTAAGTGGCAGAGGCAAGATTTGATCCCAGGTCCTATGATACCAAATCCAGCACTCAGTACACTGTATCAACTGACTTATCTCTGAGGCTCAGGCTTCCTCATCTGATAAAATGAGAGTTTTGGACTAGACCTTTAGAATCAATTCCATTGCTAAATTTATGATGCCTTTCCTATGAACCCTGAACTGACACTCAGAAAACTGGACTTCCAGTTCTGTTAAGACTGACTTGAGAGGGGGAAGAGAGGGTGATTTTTGAATCTGAAGGGAAAACACACACACACAAACACATACACATACACATGCATACATATACTATCTACCTATCTTTATTTTCATCAATCTCTAACTGAACTAATTAGTTGTGTGAGTTACTTGGCCATTCTGGGCCTCAGGCTTCTGTCAGTCAAGCAATTGACAAGTCACGAAATCAAGTTCAAGAAACATTTTATTTAATAAATGCCAAGTGCTAGGCACTTTGCTAAGCTTTAGGGATACAAAGAAAGGGAGGGGAAAAAGTTCTGCTTTTCAAACTCACAATCTAATGGAGGAAGACAATATGCAAACAGTTTTGTACAAGTAAGATTTAAATTATAAACAGAATAAATTGGAGATGATTTCATAGGGATGACACCAAGATTAAAGAGGACCTTTTGCACATATTTTAGCTGAGAGTTTTTTTATTAATTTATTTTGTATTATCAACAATCACTTTAATAAGCTTTTGAGTTTTAAATTTTTCTCTCCCTCCCTTCCCACCTCCCTCTCCAGTCTGATAGAGGCTATACATATACATTCCTATTAAACATATTTTCACATTAGTGATGTTGTAAGTAAGAATTAGAACCAATAGGAAGAACCACCAGAAAGAGGAAACAAAACACAACAGAAGAAAAAGAATATCAAATAGTATGCTTTGATCTGCATTCAAACTCCGTAGTTCTTTCTTCTTTGTGGATATTTAGCTGAGAATTGAAAGAAGCCTAAGATATCAGGAGATGAGATGAGGGGAGTTTCAGCCATGGGGACAGTCAATGAAAATGCTTAGTCAGGAGACTGAGTGCCTTGTTTGAAGGACAGCTAGGAGGCCAATGTCCCTGGACTATAGGTACACAGAGGGGAATAAATAAAATAAGACTGGAAAGGTAGCGGGGGGGGGGGGGCAGGTTATGAAGGACTTTAAAGGCTGGTTTAGGGTGTCCCAAAAGCCCTAGTGCAGTTTTGAAATTTTTGGGACTCTGCATTTGATTCCTGGAGGTAATAAGGAACCCTTGGAATTTTTTGAATTTGGGAGTGACATAGTGAGACCTGCATCATAAGTCATATATGTTATGAAGGTAGAATTGAAAGGACTTGGAAACTGATTGAATGTGGGGAAGGAGTGAGCAAGAGTGAAGAGTTGAGGATGATACCTGGTCTTTGCAAGCATAAGTGACACAATATTTGTTGACTGGTGGTAATAGGGAAATTAGAAAGAGGGGTCATTTTGGGAGAAATATAATAGTTCATTTTTGAACAAGTTGAGTTTAAGATGTCTAGGAGTCCTCCAGTCCAGGATGTTCAATGGGCGGTTAGAGATGCAAGACTGGAGTTAGAAAGTTAGAGCTGGGCACATTGGTTGTGTCTGCTCTGTGCCAGGCACAGTACTAATTGTTGGGGATACAAAGTCTTTGAGCTCAAGGATTCAATCAGGGCAGACATGTGTGTGTGTGTCTGTGTGTCTGTGTGTGAGAGAGAGAGAATAGGGACTGTTGATTTCACAAAAATGGGAAATTCCTTGTTGAAAAAGACCCCTTTACACCATTTCAGGTCCACTGTTTGTCTGCAGCTTATTAGGGAGTTGTCTGGGGCACTGAGAGTTTAAATGACTTGCCCAGGCTCACATTGATGGTATGTGTCAGAGGTGGGAATTGAACCCTGGCCTTCAGGATTTCAAGGATGGAATATATACAAAATAAATGGAAGATAATTTTGGGAGGGAGGGCACTAGCAACTATGGGAATCAGGAAGAGCTTCATGTAGAAGTTGGTACTTGAGCTAACTCTTAAAGGAAACAAGGGAGTCTAAGAAATGCTGAAGAGTGTGGTCATTCCAGGCCTGGACTGTCAGTGCAAAGGCATGGAGACAAGAGATGGGGTGTCATGTGTGAGGAATATTAGAAGGCCAGTTTGGCTGAATCAAAAGCTGCAGGAAGTGGAGCAATGGATAAGGATGGAAAAGTAAGTTTGAGCCAGGTTGTGAAGAGCTATAAATGCTAAACCAGAGGATTTTATTTTTTTATCCTAGAGGCAATGGGGAGGCATTAGCGTTTACTGAGAAGGCAAGTGACATAATCAGAATTGCGTTTTAGGAAAATCACTGGCAGCTGCTTGCCCCATGGATTGAGGGAAACAAAATAGGATACTATTTCAGTAGTCCAGGTAGGAAATGAGGAGAGTCTAAAATACAGGTGCTGGCCTTATGAGTAGAGAGAAAGTAAAATGTGAGAAATGTCATAGAGATAGAAACAAGATTTGTCAGCTAAATGGTGGAGTGAAGAAGAGTGAGGAGTCAGTTAATAATGCTGAACCTGTGAATTTGATTGACTGGAAAAATAGTGGTACCTTTAATAGAATCCTACAAACTAAATGGTTGAACAGATGAAGGAACTTTAGTGACCTAATGATCAAGGTACTGGCCAGAGTACTAAGGGATTATAGGAGTCTTTTCTTTATCTGTAAACTGAAAGAACTAGACTACATGTGTCTCAGTACCCTCATATTTGATTTTTTACAGAGAGGTAAATTTGATTTAGCATTAGGAAAATGCTATTCCTATTAGGAAAAAAAATGTAGTGGAATATGTTGGGCAGTGGGTTCTCCTTTACTTGATATCTTCAAGCAAAGACTATACAACTTTGACTTTAAAGAGGATTTGGAATAATTGCTTTTGATGTCTCTTTCAATCAGAAAAATTAACAAGCATTTATTAATGCCTTTTATTGTGCTAAGCACAGGAATACAAAGAAAAGGTAGGGGAAAAACCCTTAAGATTCTAATTCTTTTATCTCTGAAGTACCCTCTGGCTTTCAGTCCTTTGATCCTATGATAATATAAGTATATGTTATATGATAATATTAATAATTAATAATCTAGTCCAGGGCTGTTTAATGTGGTGTTTATGAACTTTAAAAAACATATTTTGAGAACTGCATTTCACTATAATTGATTTCCTTCTATTTTATGCATTTAAAAACACTATTCTGAGAAAATGGTTCATAGACTTAACCAATTTGCCATAGAGGTCCATGACATAAAATCCCCCTGATTCCCAGTCTAACTGGCTCATTTTCCAGAAGAGCAGCAAGGTGTAGCTCAGAAAAGAGTCCTATAATCTCTTAGTATTCTAGCCAGTACCTTGTTCATTAGGTCACTAAAGCTCCTTCATCTGTTCAACCATTAATTTGTAGGGAAATTCCCTATTTCTGTTAAAAGTACCACTATTTTTCCAGTTGGCCAGATTCATGGGTTCACCATTATGGTGTTGTGAAAAGAACACTGGCTTTGGAATCTGGATACCTGGGTTCAACTACTGGCTTTGTTACTAGGTAGCTTTATGATTTGGGGCAATTCAATTCAACTATCTGATCCTAAGTTTCCCCATCTGTGAAATGATGGTATTGGACATGCCTAAAGAACCTTCACGGTCTAAAACACAGCCCAGTTCAGACATATAAACAAGTGTTTTTTCTATGACATCGAATTTGCCTCTCCCTCAAAAGTCTGATAGATAGAGGTAGAGTTGTAATATGCTTAGCACCACAATGTGAATGAATGAATGGAAAAACATTTATTATATATTTACCATGTATAAAAAGCACTGATAGAAAAGATATGCCTTGTTCCTATTAGTTTGCTTTATACCTTCTACTGCCTCTCAAAGTGATGCTCCATTTTTACCCTGCATTAGTGTACGTGCTTTAGAGTAGGATCCTCAGATCTCATGATACTCTTTCCCAAGGCCCTTTTCACCCTTAGTTCATTTTCTGTTATTTTCCCCCTATTTCTCTACTCCTTTTCCCCAACCTTCTCCTCCCCCCCACTTTTCCTTGTGTGTTCTTGAACTGGGAAGACTCATGAGGCATTAAAGGAGGCTTTTACAAATAAAGATATTTTTCCCTCAATCTAAAGTAAAAAGAGTATTGCTCAAGCAATGATTCTCTGGGTATTGTTCTGCATGAGGACTGGTAACTGGTCTATTAATGCCTTATATTGATTTGATAGTAATAAGTTTATGATGTTTATTCCTTATATTATAGCACACTGACTGGTCTGAGCCGTGGTTACTGGGACTTTTAGGCTTCCACATACTTTGCCTGTTGCTCACATACCTTACTTTCCAACGATATCGACTTCAGATTGGGCATTTCCTGGGTTTGGGTGAGTGAAAAAAACAGTATGTGGGGCTAGGCTATCTATGTGAAATATTAGTTGCTTCCAATTTCTACAGATATACTTTATGGTGGAATGGAGTGACCCCAAATGCTGGTAATTCCCATCAAATTGGAAAGGTTTTAAATAGGAACCCAACAGCCTAGTGCATGTCTGTCTTGTGAAGTCACCAGCCTAGGTGAATGTTGGAGAAATAAGTGTGTTGCCAGAGGGTTGGACACCATTTTTCAGCTAGAGCAATTCATGAAGACCATCTACTAAGAAGCAGAAGTATAACAATCTGCATTTTTGTAGGAGACAATCTACACTGATGAAATCATGGATCATTTAAGTATTGAAATAGGTAGTGTACACTTTATAAAAATGTCCAGACTCACCATATTTTTAATATTATAAATGAAATTCCGTAAACCCAGTATCTTATACATTGTAGGTGCTTAATAAATCATTGTTGACTTGAGTTCAGTTTTTGTACATTGTATATACTTAAATGCTTATTGAATAATGCATGAATAAGTCTTATAATTGAGTAGGCAATGAATTGAACTGAGTGGCTCTAGTTCAACTAGTATTTATTTTGCCTAGTACCATCCAAACTGTTACTAGACACTATACTAAACTTTGTTTTATGCTGTTTGTGTGGAAAAAAAAGAAGCTGTTTAAAAAAAAATACACTATTTCTGCCTTTGTGGAGTTTATAATCTTACTGGACAGGCACGCTGTAAGCTTAAAACTGTAGATACCAACATCTTCCTTTGTGTTCCATTTCCACATAATTCTGTCTTCATTTTATTTCCATATAAAACAAAGGCAATTGTTGATCAAGAGTATAACTCTCTGATTATATATGAATTAAAATGTTGAGTCACAGTGTTGGTATAGTGGATAGAGACCTGGCTTTGGAGTCAGGAAGACCTAGTTTCAGTTCTCACTAGCATTGTGGCCATGGGCAAGTCCCCGAATATCCCAGTATTCCTAGGCAACTGTCTTAGGACCATTAATGCAGAGGCATTGATGAAGGCAGTTTGTAAAATGGAATTTCCTCACATACATGAAATCACAATTTTAGAACCTCCCTACCCTAGATAGATAGATAGATAGATAGATAGATAGGATGTTATGATAAAATGTTAGTGCTCAGCCAGGATGGTGCTCTGTTCTCCTTGGTATATGTAGCACTAAATAAATTAAAACTATCAATAGGCTAGTGGTAGCTAATAATAATAATAATAACTAACATTTACATAGCACTTAGTATATGTCAGGGGCCTATGCTAAGCAATTTACAATTATTATCTCAAATCTTTACTGTTAAATGTGCTTTGGGAGTAATGCAGTTTGGTCAGGGCAGCACAGTGTGGTGTAAGAACACTGAATTCTAGGTCCCGCTGTGTCCCTAGTATATCACCTTGAGGAACTTATTTGACATCTCTGAACTTTTGTTCCTTTGTAAGATGAGGACATTGAACTAAATTATCTCAAGTCTCTGTTAGCTCTAAATCTTTTTTTTTTTTTTGCTTTTTGGTGAGGCAGTCCCAGTTAAGTGACTTGCCCCCAGGGTCACACAGCTATTAAGTGTCATGTGTCTGAGGCTAGATTTGAACTCTATCCACTGCACCACCTAGCTGGCCCTAAATCTTATTCTTAAAGGTCCTGTGTGTGATGGCTAAGACTCACCGTACTTTACCTCTGTATTTATGAGGCAGGTAGGTGACTAAGAGACTAGAATTTTGGTCCTGGAGTCAAAAAGACCTAAGTTCAAATCCAGCCTTGGTAGCTATATAATCCTGGGCAAGTCATTTAACCTCAGTTTGCCTCAGATTCCCCAATTATAAAATGAGGATAATAACAGCACATACTTCACAGGATCAAATGAGACAGTATTTGTAAAGTGTTTACTATAGTAATACATAATTTAGTATTGCTAATATATAGTAGGAACCATATAGATGCTTTTATTCCCTCTTCTTCATCGTTCCCTCTAAATATAGAATTCAGTATGCTTTTTTAAAAACATATATATTTTAATTATTAGTATCTTTTAATAATTATTCATGTCAAAGTCATTTTTATTATGACTTGTTTTCTTTCTTTTTTCCAGTGATTTTAGTCTATTGTGCTGAATATATCAATGAACTGGCTGCTATGAATTGGAGGTAAAAATGATTTAAGTTTATATATTTTTGACATAGTACTTTATAACATATTCTTCAGATTCTCCTAAGTTACAGTTCTGGGAAGTGTTTCCAAGATTTTTCGATTTTATTGATGCTTTGGAGCAGAAATGTCAAACTCGCTGCCCCTTGCCACAAGAAGCCCAAAACTCTCTCCTGTGGCCTGGCAGTTAAAAATAAAATCAGGAAATGTATAATAAAATAAAAATACAGTACAACATAGGTAATGTTAATAAGAGATTTTCTAAACCCCACTCCCCCTTTTCTATTTGAGTTTGACACCACTGCTTTGGAGTATCCAGCGTTGTTTTTGGGACTTGTTTTGTCCATCTGGACAGGAGCCCTTTGTACTTTTCTGTTTTTATAAAATATAATTTTATGTATTATGATATATTAAGTGTAATAATTTTATATATTTCTTTACAGCTTCTTCATTGGTACTTTCTCTTTCTCTCTAACTGAAAGACTGAATATGTTTTGGAAATTGGCAAGCCCATAAAAACCAGGTTTCTTTACAGCCTTTTCTTGTACTGTAGATACCTCTGAGCAAAGTCCAAAATCTTTTCTGAGCCATATTACTAAGTTTTATGCAAATCATAGTAAAGAGGGTAAAAGAGAATAAAAAGAACTGAGAAATTGTGGCTACTTTGAAGCAATATGGCATTAACAGTTTATAGATAGGGAATGTAACTTAGTATTTGAAGGAATTTAAGAAATTACAAGAAACTGTAAGCATTTGGCTGAAATTAATGTTGGACCTGTAAAGTGATTTAATGAAAGCTGTTCCTTTAGAATAATTAAATAGAAGAAGAAAAAGTGCCAGATAGTTCTATAGTTATAATAATAATCCATATTTATAAGATGCATTGCGGTTTATAAAATACTTTCCTTACAACAATCCTGTGAGACTAGCAGTGGAAATATCACTTCCACTTTATAGATTAAGAAATGGAGACAAAGACATATTTGTAGTGCTACCTATAGTATCATGTAATGTGTATGTGTGTGTATATACACATATACACATATGATAAGCCTTACAAATGACTTCAGTAAGCTTTTTTTTTCATAAGTTTAGTAGTCTTTTTCCTAAAATGATTAGTGAAAAACAGTAATAATCAGCAAATATTGTTGTATTCCTACTATTACCCAGCATTGTAGGAAATATAGAAGCATAAAACATGATTTCTGCTTTCATCAAACTGCAAATATTTCTTAAGTGGAATTAAATTACTCTTGGATTGAGGAATAGAATTATTATCATCATCATCATTGTCATCATAGTAGTAGTAGTAGTAGCAATAGCATTAACAGCAGTAGTGGTTAGGTGGTATAGCAGATAGAGTTCTGAGCCTGAAGACAGTAAGATCTCAGTTCAAATACATCTTCAGACATTTATTAGTTGTATAAGCTGGCCACCAGGTCACTTAAGTACATCTGTAAAATGGGGTTACTAATAGCACTTACCTCCAGGGTTGTTATGCGGATCAAGTGAAATAATAATTATAAAGTACATGGCCATTGATTAGAGAAATGCAAATCAAAACAACTCTGCGGTACCACATCACACCTATCAGAATGGCCAACATGACAAAACAGAAAAATGATAAATGTTGGAGAAGATGTGGTAAAATTGGAACACTAATGCATTGTTGGTGGAGTTGTGAAATGATCCAACCATTTTGGAGAGCAATTTGGAACTATGCCCAAAGGGCTATAAAAATGTGCATACCCTTTGACTCAGCAATAGCACTTCTAGGGCTGTATCCCAAAGAGATCACACAAATGGGAAAAGGACCTACATGTACAAAAATATTCATAGCAGCTCTTTTTGTGATGGCAAAGAATTGGAAATTGAGAGGATGCCCCATCAATTGGGGAATGGCTGAACAAGTTGTGGTATATGAATGTATGTGGTATATGAATGGTATGAATATATGAATGGAATACAATTGTGCTATAAGAAATGATGAACAGGCTGACTTCAGAAAAAGCTGGAAAGTCTTGTATGGTCTGATGCTGAGTGAAGTGAGCAGAACCAAGAGAACGTTGTACACAATAACAGCCACGTTGTGTGATGACTGATATTGATAAACTTAACCCTTCCTGGCAATACAAGGATCTAAGACATCTCCAGAGGCCTTGTGATGGAAAATGTTATCCACACCCAAAGAAAGAACTATGGAAGCCGAATTGTTATTTTTTTCTCTTCTGTTGAGTTTTGTTTCCTCTTTCTGATGGTTCCACCTATTGGTTTTAATTTCTACTTACAACATTACTAATGTGAAAATATGTTTAATATGAATGTAAATGTATAGCCTATATCAGATTGTGCACCATCTTGGGGAGGGTGGTAGGGAGGAAGGGGGAGAAAAATTTTAAACTCAAAACCATATGGAAGTGATTATTGATAAATCAAAATAAGTTAAAAAAAAATAAAGTACATGGCCCATGGTAAATACTATATAAATGCTAGTTAGTTGGACAAGGAAATGGCAAACCATTCCAATATCTTTGCCAAGAAAACCCGAAAAGGGTTGATGAAGAGTCAGAAAAGACTGAAAATGACTTAACATTATCAGTAGTAGTAGTTGTAGTAGTAGTAGTAGTAGTAATAGTAGTAGTAGTAGTAGTAGTAGTAGTAGTAGTAGTAAGTAGTAATAGTAGTAGTAGCTATAGTAGTAGTATATAGTATATATACTATATATATAGTATATATATATATATCATACATACTATATATAGATATAGATATAGCTATAGTAGTATAGTAGTAGTCAGAAGTACCATACAGTATGCATTTGTGAAAATGTATAATGATTTTGATGATTTATACTATATTTATTACACTTATATATTTTATAACAAATATATAAATTATATATAGTATAATCTATAAATATATTATCAAACACTAATATAATATAGCAAATATATTACAAAATAGAAATTATATTACAAAAGATAAATAAATATATAAACCATGTTCTTAAATTAATACATGATTAGAATCTATCCATATTTTCCATGCAGTGTGATTCTATACTCTGTCCTCCCATAAATCCAACACAAAGGATATACTTACTACAGTAGGTCTTCTAACAATATGTGGTATTGATGTGGTACATGAGCTGTCCATCTATAATCCATGATTTTTACTATCTGATCAGCCCAACTTTTCTGAGCAGAATTTCTCAATTTCTTTAATCTCTTTTACATCACTCCTTGCTTAGGAGTTAGTGCTGCAGTGACCTTTGTGGGCCCTCTAGGCCCACTGTGCCACTGTCTGTTCCCCACCTTGAATTACTTCCAATTTTGATTCTTCGGATACTATGTGGTGCCATGATTTGTAGTTACACAGTTATCCTTTCTACATTGCTACTTTTCCCCTCACAGTTTCGATATATCACAGATTGGCATAAGAAATTAAATGGGAATTTTTGGGAGTTTTGCAGAAGCTGTTAACAACACACAAAGGCCAGCAGACAACACAGAAAAAGTTTAGAAATTCAGAAATGCATTAGTAATGAATGGTATTGTATATTATCAACATATTCTATCTTTTAATACCATAATAATTCAGGCTTCTTCTGTGGTACAAAGGGAGGTCCAAAAAATTTTGTGTAGATTTTCCAGATCCTGGGGAAGCTACACGCCTAACCCCCAGGATGTGGAAGGGATAACTGTATAGCATCACCAGCAGAAGAAAATTAGTGTTAAACAATGAGCTTTTAATTTTTTTTTTCCCTTAAAGGGAACAGCTTAGGATTATCAGAATTGTTACATAGTTTCTCAAATGCATTTCAGCCCATTCTGTTCTCCTTTCTAATTCTCCACCCAGGCTATTATCTGTCTGGAGTGTCTAAGCTATATGTGTTTATAGACTAACCCTAATTATCCAACTACGTGTCATAGTATGGACAATAGATGTTATTTACACATTTGGTTTTCTTGTTTGGATCGATAGGCCAGTCTTTGTTGTGTGGTTATGGTTATAGATCTCATTTCACAGGCCTTGTTATTGTTAGTTTTTTTGTTTTTTTTTTTTTTGTTTTGTTTTGTTTTGTTTTTGTGAGGCAGTCGGAGTTAAGTGACTTGCCCAGGATCACACAGCTTGTAAGTGTCAAGTGTCTGAGGCCGGATTTGAACTCAGGTCCTCCTCATTCCAAGGCCAGCGTTCTATCCACTTTGCTACCTAGCTGCCCCCCTAGTCCTTCATTCTTGAAGAGGATCAGTGATAGCAGGAGGGTGACGTGTTGACTTGAAAGTAAATTGGATTTAAGTGAGACAGAGCTGTGCAAAGTCATCAGCCTCACTCTCTCCTGGAGAGTCATCTGAGTCTAGTGGCAAGACATAAGTTGGAATGACTTGTAATGGCCCATGATGCACTGGGAGACCTTGAACTTTTTAAGGTAAGGTCTCTCCCAGTTTTCAGTTTTTCTGAGGCAACACCTATTCAGTAATTCAGTAAAGGCTAGGTAAGAATTGAGGCAAAAGATGGCCTAGTTTGCCTTCACATTAGAATCAGTCTGGGAGGGGAAGACCCTAAGAGTTTCTGCCAGAACAGAAACAATTGCTGTTTACACTCACTCTGAGCCATGGAAACCCAAACAGTGAGAAAGTGAGGCTTGAACTGGGACCTATTACTGGCCATTCAGTGAGATCCAGAGTGGTTAGGGTTAAGGTTAGGATTAGGAGTTAGGGTTAGAGTTAGGGTTAGGGAAGGGAAAACTGCAGTCAGTTTCATTCTTTGTGAAGTTCTTCAGTTCTTAGTATGTCCAGCATGATCTTGATTCCTTTTTTAAAGATAGTCTTCATGATATGCAGACATGAAACCTCTGAGTAGACTACCAATCTATATACCTTTCATTTCCCAGTCCTGAAACCTTATCTTCTAATATTTTCTTCCATCTTCCTCATTTTCATCTTCATTTAGACAATACTAAGTGTGTAAGTTTGTCAGGGTGTGTGTATAGTGTAGGGAAAGGGGGAAGAGAAAAGAGTGAGCAAGAGAGCACTGTGAAATAAATCAACTCCTATTTGCATCTTCAAGAAGAAATTGCAGGGTCTGGATGATATATGTGTGTATGTGTATATAAATATAATGCATAATTATTTATGTGATTTATTATAGGGTTCAGAATTTGAAGCTAGTAGTAACCTATAGGTAATATTAAAAAGGGTGGTTTTACAATCTCCTCCTGAAAGAGATCCCCAAAGGAAAACTCCTATGAATGTTATAGCCAAATTCCCGAGTTCCCAGGTCAAGGAGAAAATATTACAAGCAGCCAGAAAGAAACAATTCAAATATTGTGGAAACACAATCAGGATAACACAAGATTTGGCAGCTTCTACATTAAGGGACCTCAGGGCATGGAATATAATATTCCAGAGGGCAAAGGAGATAGGATTACAACCAAGAATCACCTACCCAGCAAAACTGAGTATAATCCTGCAGGGGAAAAAAAATGATCATTCAGGGAAATAGAGGACTTTCAAGCATTTTTGATGGAAAGACCAGAGCTGAATAGAAAATTTGACTTTCAAATACAAAACTCAAGTGGAACATGAAGAGGTAAGCAGGAAAGAGAAATCCTAAGAGACTTATTAAGGTTGAACTGTTTACATTCCTGCATGGAAAGATGATATTTATAACTCATGAGACCTTTGTCAGTATTAGGGTGGTTGGAGGGAAAAAATTATATATGTATAGATATAGATAGATAGATAGGTAGATAGATAGAGGGCACAAGGTGAGTTGAAGATGAAGGGGTCATATCTGGAGAATAAAATTAAGGGGTGAAAGAGGATCATATGGAGAGAAGGAGAAAGGGAGAGGTAGAACAGGGTAATTTATCTCACAAAAAAAAAAACAGAAAATAAGGCTCTTACAGTGGAGGGCAAACAGGGGAAGGTGAGAGGGAATGAGTGAATCTTATTCTCATAGGATTTGGCTTAAGGAGGGAATAACATACACACTCAATTGAGTATGGAAATATGCCTTACCTTACAGGAAAATAGGGGGAGAAGGGGACAAGAGAGCAGGGGAATGATAGAGAGGAGGGCAGATTGGGAAAGGGGTAATCAGAAGCAAAATCTTCTGAGGAGGGACAGGGTCAAAAGAAATAATAGAATAAATGGGGGGGTGGGATAGGATTAAGGGAAATAGAGTTAATTTTTCACAACATGACTACTATGGAAGTGTTTGCATAACTGCACTTGTATAACCTATGTTGAGTTACTTTACTTTTCAGTGAAGGTAGGTGGGGAGGGAGTAAGGGAGAAAATTTGGATCCCAAAGTTTTAAAAACACATGTTTAAAAAACAATGTTTTTACATGCAACTGGGAAATAAGAAATATAGGAAATTGGGTACAGAAATCTATCCTGACCTACAGGAAAGTAGAAGGGGAAGGGGATAAGACAAGGGGGGGAGATATAGAAGGGAAGGCAGACTAGGGGAAGGGATATTCAGAATGCATGCCATCTTGGGGTGGGGGGAGGGGTGAGATGGGGTAAAAATTTGGAACTCAAAATCTTGTGGAAGTAAATATTGAAAACTAAAAATAAATAAATTTAAAATTAAAATAAATAAAAAGGATGGTTTTAGTTGAGGTAACATTTCCTTAGGCTTGGTCTGATGGTTTATTTTTCTTTTTAACAAGTGCCTGGCCTATTTTACTAATCTTATTTCATCTGTTTTTCTTATCTGTTAATTCCTGGATAACACAGTTCACCTGACTACCTTGGTAATGAGTCTGGTACCAAAGGAAAGATGGTAGGGGGAAAAAATGTATCCAAAAATTGATTTTATGATGTGGTAATAGACTGACCCATATATCTCTTTAGATGCTTTTGATGTGTGTGGGAATTAAAAAAAAAAGTTTTTCCAACTAACTTTTGCTTTTTGTTCTACATGTAGGTTATTTTCTAAATACCAATATTTTGATTCAAGAGGGATGTTTATTTCCATGGTTTTTTCAACACCGTTGCTGTTAAATGCTATGATCATTGTGGTACGTCTATTACAAATCATGAAGTTTAGTTTTCTCTTTCAAAGTTTATTTTCAGTTATGCATATTGCTCACAGGTATTTTATTTTTTAGATTACATGGGTGCGTAAAACAGTTACTGTCATGACTGAGTTGAAGATCCTGCAACAAAAAAGAAAAGCAGAAAGAGAGAAGAGGAGGAAGGCAGAATGTAGATGAACTTTTACATTGGATTCTCTAACATATTCTAACAATTATTCTTGCTTCAATATTTGTGTATCATGCAGTAGGATGTATTGCAGTGGTAACTTTAGTAGGCTCATGGTTTGAAGCACCCATATGTTCTTTTATTTCAGTCTTCACTGTGATACTAGAAAACACTCAATTCACTTATTTAATGTTTTAATTTAATATTAAATGAGGCTATGTTTCCTCTAGCTCTAAAATTGCATTATATTGATATGTCATTATTGTTACAGTCTAAAGATAGCCTAAATGGCAAAACTAGCTCTGTAATTTAAATATTTTTAGTGTTCCATCTGAACTATATCTGTATTTGCTTATTTAGAAATCTGTTCTGATTTTAAGTTATATATTGATCATTTGTGTCAGTGGTGTTGCTCAGCAATATGTAAGGATCCCTGCTGGCAACATGCTGACTTAGAAAACTACTTATTAGGGGCAGCTAGGTGGCGCAGTGGATAGAGTACTGGCCCTGGAGTCAGGAGGACCTGAGTTCAAATGTGACCTCAGACCAGACACTTGACACTTAACAGCTGTATGACCCTGGGCAAGTCACTTAACCCCAATTGCCTTAAAAAAAAAAAAACTAAACAGAAAACCACATATTAATCTTATCTGTGTTCTATTATATTTTTATTTATTTTGTTTAATTTCTCCCATTTACATTTTAATCAAGTTCAGGTATACTCGGCAGTGTTGTGAGCTGGCTACATGTTTGACACTGCTGATTTATGTGATATAACTTCCAAAGTATTAAATCTCTTTATGTCTAACATTAAATAATGATCTTTGACATAACTGATGGAATGTTGCTTGTTGACCCAATTAGCTTTGATGTAAATTCGACAGTGTCCTTGTTCAGAAACAGACTTTAGTATCTTAGGAAAATAATCTTAGTTTAATGGATCACTCCTTAAATTATAATCCCATATAATTTGTCCATAAAACCTGTTTTTGTATAGATTGTGTGTGTGGGTCATCATGACCAATTAAAACCCATGAAATAGAATGAATTGTAATGAAAGTTTTAAAATATTTATTTAAAAAAATATGCTTGAAAATACTGTAAAAATTGTTTTTTTAAAAATGAAGCAATTAATACAGGGTATCCCAAAAATCTTAAACATTAATGTACTAAGACTTTTGGGACACCTTATACAAGTAAGCAAACATCAGAAAATTGTAAGCATAGGATAATGATAGAACAACCCTCCATCTTATATTTTCTTTTTTTTTTTTACATTTTTTACATTTTACATTTTACATTTTTTCCCCCTACCATCTTTCCTTTGGTACCAGACCCATTATCAAGGTAGTCGGGTGAACTGTGTTATCCAGGAATTAACAGATAAGAAAAACAGATGAAATAAGATTAGTAAAATAGGCCAGGTACTTGTTAAAAAGAAAAATAAAATAGAAAAATAGAAAAATAAAAGATCCTTATATTTTCAGAAAATATTAGGAAATAATCCATCATTAAATCATCTCTAAATGAGATGTTTAATTGTTCGTTTTTTTTTGTAAAGTTTATGTTTGAATTTTCAGAATTTGGCTAGTCAGAAGCAGAATGTCATTAATGTTATTTTTAAAGAAACCAATACAATGTGATGCACCCTACTTTGTAATCTCACTCATGAAGTAACATCCAAGTTCCATCTCAGTGTAGAATTGTACTATTTATATAAAGAATAATGACAGGTAGTTGTAGGGGGAAAGTATAAAAATATTTCAGAAGGCAAAGTGATAGAGAGCTGTGTTGTTAACAGTAATAATAGCTAAAATTTGTATAGTGCCTACTGTGTCCCAGATGCCATGCTAAGCACTTTACAGATTTTTATCTCCTTTGAGCGTCACATCAACCCTAGCACGTAGCTGCTATTATATTACCCCTTTTTACAGATGAGGAACTTGAAGCACAATTGAGTGACTTGCCCAGAGTTACATAGCTAGTAGTGTCTGAAGTTGGATTTGAACTCATGTCTTCCTAACTCCAGACATGGTGCTCTCCACTGTGCTACTTACCTGTCCAATGTTTTTTCTTTAAAAAAAGTTTTTCTGCCCATTTTAAAATAAAGTGCCAGTTCTTCACTTTTTTTTAGAGGGTCAAAAGAAGTTAATGTTCTAGAAATAAAAAAGATGACTGAATTATAGAATTTATATATGAAAATTTGGAAAGTTAAATAATCACAGATTCAGAAATTGAATCCTATATTGTTAAAAATAAAATATATGTCCTTTCTGGATAATTGAATACATCCTAGTCACAAATAGCCATAGCAATTTGTCAGATATTGGCTTGTCACTTTACAGAGTGGCTTAACTTAATCGTGAAAATAAACAAGGAACTTTTAATCTGAAAATGTTTTATCAGCTCTCTAATGCTTGGTATCATAGTTCTTAAGCATATTCCTGGGTATTAAATATGAAGTAGTAGTGTAAAGAAATATAATATCATTATTATGGTTTAATTTTTAAGTGAACATAAATCCAGTCAAATTTGTTTCAGGTTCTGAATATATGGGATCCTATTAATTTGCATAGTGTCAGTGAGGCTTGAATATCAACTGAATAAATGACCATAATATTCTTCAGAAATTGCTAATTTAGGATGCTAAATGATACCAGAGAGGAAGGAGAGTTAACATACTATACGATTTGTTCAATTTAAAACGAAGATAGAGAAAATCATTTTTCACATGTAAGACTTTGAAAGTGTAAAAAATTTGTTACGGAGATTTGTAACTATAGATGTCAGACTCTGTAATTAGATCATCATCATAGAGGCAGGTAACTAATGGGAAAATAACAACATTGGATTTGAATTTAAAAGATCTGAATTTTTGTCCTAGTACTCCCACTGCTAGAGCGTTTGGGGGCAGTTGATGTAACTTTTAAAATAAGAGTCATACCTATTCTCCATTTTCTCAAAGATATGTATGTATATTTGACTTCACTTAAAAAAAAAAGGAAGTTTAAAAATGTGAATTTTTTCCTATAAATTAAACTTTATTTGCATTTTATTTGAATTTTCATTTGAATCCTGAACTACCCTTAGATATAATTTGAACCCTTAGTTTTAATGTAAAAAAAATATTCTTGACAAGTATTATAAACTAAAAGGATTGGAGGGAGTGTTAATTTTCTTTCAGTTTTTTCACTTCACATTTATAGTATAAGTTCTGTCATTAGGAAACCATTTTAAAGATTTTAAATAAAAAAAAAAAGAAAGAAACATAAAGGTTTAGGTGATTTGATCTTGTTTCCAATGCTGCTTAATATTTTTATATCAATTATCTATTATAAATCTCTTGGTGTTGGGTTGTGGTTATTCGTAGAAAATATCCTACAATCCTAAATACCTAATACTGCATTAATCATATGAAAAGATCATGTCATGCAGAATTTTATCAGGTGCCACCCCCCCCAACCTCTAGACCAGGGATGGGGAACCTCTGGCCTTGAGGCCACATGGTGGCCCTCTAGGTCTTCAAGTGCAGACCTTTGACTGAATCCAAACTTCATCAAGCAAATTCCATTAATAAAAAGATGTGTTCTGTATAACTTGGACTCAGTTAAAAGGCTACACCCAAGACCTAGAAAGCCACAAGTCCCCTCAAGGCCTCAGGTTCCCCACCCCTGCTCTAGACTTTCTATTATCTCTTCTATAAAATACAAATTATTCATTCTCACATTTAAAGTCATTCCTTGTCTGACTCCATTCCACATCCATCCCAGAGTTATTTCACAATATTTCTTTTCATGAATATTCGTTCTAGCTAAGCTGTTGTTGTCTTTCCTTTATGCCCTTACACAGACTAAACCCTACCTCTCTCCCCCCATGCCTAGAATTAATTCCTTTCCTACCTACCTTCCACCTCTGAGAAACTTTAGCTTCATTTAAGATTTATACCATGTGCCACCTTCTAAGGGAATCCTTTCTTCATCATCCTTGCAGTTAGTGACCTAGGTCGTGTGTATCTTTGTAAATTTTATGTCCTGCAATGGAATGGAATATAAACTGCTTGAAGATAGAAGCTATTTTTTCCTTTTTTTTTTTTTTATTCTGAGTGTCTTGCACATAGAAGGCACTTAAATACTTTAAAAAATTGTTAATAAAGGACTTGATGGTACATCAAAAATGTGTTATCAAACCTTAAAAAGGAAACTGATTGTGGCAATATTCAGAAGTCATTTTCACTCCTTTTATTGTTTTATTTTTGTAAATAAAAATAAATTCTACTCTATTTCAAAATGATTTGAGAGAGGGTGATGGGTAGAGGAAGAGTTGTGCTGAATTGGACATTTTTGTGATAAATAATGATGTTATGTAAATACTTCCATACCATTTTGTTGTACTTATATTTGAATGCAACAAAATATATTGTTAATAAAACTTGATATGTTTTCCTAAAATTTTGTATTATTTTTGTAGTTTTATACATTATGACTGTTTTGTGTCTGTAAAGGAGATGATGGGATAAGTTTATATACAGTGTTAGTTGATAACTAAAACTAAGTCAGGATAAAGGCAAATTGCATTGGTGTTGTTTGAGTTCTCGGATGTTCCAGGACAAGGAAATGCCAGGATAGCTTAGTGCAGGGCTTCTTAAGCTTTTCCCACTCATGTCCTCGTTAGCACTTCTTAAGCTGTGGGTCATGATCCTGTGTCGGGTCACAACCCACTGTTTAAGAAGTACTAGTTAGTGAATAGATAGTTGGCGTTGGATTCAGGAAGATCTGAATTCAAACCCTATTATTTCTCTCTCTCTCTCTCTCTCTCTCTCTCTCTCTCTCTCTCTCTTTCTTTCTCTCTCTCTCTCTTTTTGTGAGACAGTTGGGGTTAATTGACTTGCACAGGGTCACACAGCTAGTAAGTATCGTGTCTGAGACCATATTTGAACTCTGGTCCTCCTGAATCTAGGGCCAGTGCTGTATCCACTGTGCCACTTAGCTGTCTCTCAAGCCCTATTTCTGATACATGTTGGTTGTATGATCATGGGAAGTCCTTAATTTTCCATTGCTCTTGGCAACCAACACTGTGTTACAAAATAGTTATGTAAGCGCGTTAGTAGAATAAGTTTCCTCACCAGGAATTTCCTACATAAGAAAATCCCAGGTCTGGGCCAAAAAAAAAAAAAGTTTTGGAAAGACAATGTGGAACAATGGTTTTGTCATTGACATCAGGGTTCGAATTCTGTTTCTGATGCTTCCCATCTCTGTAACCTTGGGAAAGTCATCTTACCTTTGGATCTCATTTTCTGCATCTGTAAAATGAGGGAGTTGGATGAGATAAGTTTCTGAGGTTCTTTCTGTAGGTATACGAACCTATGAAGTACCATGACTTGCGTATTGAACCTTCATTGGTGACTTAACTTACATATGGTTTAAAATAACGAAAATGATAATCCTTCAATTATGCTCCTATCCAGTGGACCAGACATGTATCACTAGCCAGCAGAAACATCCAGGAATCACACTATATAAACA